GCCAGGAGAGTGGTCAAAGCCGGAACTCCGTTTATTAGAAAGGTGTTGGAGTTTATATAGAGGAAGAAAGCGGAAACAGAGAGGAGAGGCGGGAGGAGATGGTTATCCAATCAGGGGAAGCCACAAGTTATGAAGAGGGGTGATGACAGGGCGGGCAAAAACTGCTTAGTCACTGGGCCCCGGAAAAGAAGGACTTCTAGCTACGTGCATTAAAGCGCTCGTGAAATGGCGGCGGAGGCCTTACGCCAGCAAGATGGCCACCGCTTGATCTATTTTAGGGAACAGGAACCATACTTAGGCAGGTGCCTTATGATTTGATTGTGCTGCAACATGGCCCAACAGGAAAGTTCTCAGTCTCAGCCAAGGTCTCCTTGGCTTTCATGATAAGAGAGGAGACTCAGAAAGTACCAAAGAACTAGAGAACCCTCTCAAAAGCCTGTCTCGCTAGGAGAGATGGATCAGTCAGTGTAAAAGGGAACTTAAATAGTGATGCTCTACTCTTCTTTGTCCGTCACTGAAAGGTTCACAGATGTCAGACTGTAACTAAAATTAGCCCAGTGGACTGAGGGGGTCCTACCCAGCAGAAAGAGCCGACTGGAGAACTGGCTGGTTCTCAGGCCAGAGCCCGTGCCATGCGCCGGCCTGGGCAGTGCTGGGGATGAGACGCTGCTCAGGCCACATCTGTCCCCAGGCACCTCTGGGAAGGGCTCCCTGTTCTCTCAAAGTGAGAGCTGGGAAGCCCTGGTGTGCCCTGGGGACAGGTCTACGAGCATTGGCCTAGGATCCCCCCTAGTGAAGAGGGGAGATCGAGGTGAGGCATGGGGACATCCCTGGAGCTTCCGGGGGGAAAGACCTTTATTTGGAGAACACAGACTGTCCCCCAACCCCCAGCACTAATCCTTACTATTAATATATATATATGTTAATATATAATATTACATGTTAATATATATTAGAATTTTATTTAATATATGTGTATATTTGTATATATGTGTGTGTATATACACATATATATATATATATCAAATAAAATTCTAATTTGCTGAGAGATTGTCAAGGACCATCATCTAGGCTGATTAAGGGCGGCTGGTGCTCTGCTGGCCCCGAGACCCCACCAGGGAGGGGTGAGAGGTGGGGGCTTTCCAAGAAACAAACTCTGTGAAGAAGGGCTGGATCCCAGACCAGCACCACGAGCTCTGTGCCCTCATGGTAAATCACTCCTTGCTCTGGCAGCGGAAGTGAGTGATGGGGCATCAGGGGACCTTCTCATGTGTCTTGGAGGGCCACCATCATCAGGGTGCAGCAGGCAGGGCCTGACACCACCTCCTGAGGTCCGGGGTCATGGGCGTTAAAGGTTTGGGTGATGTTCACCAGCTGGATGCCCAGCCTGAGCCTGGGAGCTGTGGAGGAGACAAAATCAGAGAGAATGCATGACCCCTGTCCCTGGAAGCTGAGACAGACCACCAGTTCATTTTGCATGACACACAGGAGGCTCCACTCCAGCTCAGGTCCCTGCCGACGTGGCACGAGCCACTCACACACAGAGTGAGTGCTCACTTGCTCGTTCTTGTACACACAGCACTAGCTGTGGGGGGCAGTGTGAATGCTGTTGAGCTCTGTGACTCGTGAAGGCCATGCAGAGTGGAGAGCTGGGACCCCATCAAGAAGAAATCCTCCAACCTGTAGAACCCATCTCCTTGAGGAGGGACCCCTCCCCCACCCCACCCTGACCTCTGAACCAAGGGAGGCAGGTCCTTGGTGAAAAGTGGAGCCGGCTGGGTGGGGAGAGGCTTGTAGAGACAGGAGAGTGTGGAAGGCGGGCAGAGAAGTAACATCGAGTCTATTCTGGCGAGAGCTCCCTGGACATGGGAGGGACAGAGAACTGACTGGGCCTTTCCAGGAGCCCTGTGGGCGGAGGTTGGAGGTGGACAGGGTGCAGAGAGGTTGGGGGTATTGGGATGTGTGTGAGGAGAGGTCTCCAGCAGAAATGAGGCAGGGACTGTGACTATCTCCGCCTGAGCCCAAACCTCAGCTCAGTTGTCCACTCCGGAGAATGGAAAGTTATGGAACCTGATCAGAGATCAGGAGAACTGGGCCCCTAATCCAGCCACCAAACTACTCTGAGCTCCCAAGAAGAGGATGAAGGGGAAGGTGGAAAAGGAGGCAGGGAGGATGACCAGTGGCTTCCCCCTCTGGGCCTCAGTTTCCCAGCAGTGCAATGGGGAGGAAACATAAAGCCCAGCTTCCAGGGGCCATTCTGAAGCAGAGGGCGGGTGGAGCTCTTTGCTTCTCAGCGACATGAGCGCTGACTTCTTTTTTCCTTCCCCAGTATCGAAGCATCTTAGAGAATCACCTCACAGACTCCATCAAGCTCTCGCCAGACCAGTCACAGAGCAGATGCTGCTGATTTCCAGACGCGCACTCTGGAGACCAGAGACAGGGCCTGCCCCAGCCTGGTCATCCCGGCCTGAGGGTAGATGACGATCCCACACCAGCCGCACCGCCTGCCCAGGCTCAGCCCAGGTGCCTAGGCTCTACGGCCAGAGCCCTTGCCCCCGTCACCAGGCCCAGAATCAGAGGGAAGCCCTTCTGGGGAGAGGCCCTCAGGGGTCTGAAGGAAGCCTGGAAGTCACAGACAAATCCTGGCCCTGGGGAAAGTCACCATTCCCTTAATGGCTCCTGCTTTCCTGCCACCTGTTCTACCCAACACGCTCCTGTTCCAGAGCACACATCTCTGCAGACGACAAGCCACTGTGTCTAGAGTCTTGTTATATTTTCCTGTGAACTGACCTTCCTCACCCCTCCCATCTCACACCCCCAAAGCCACAAGCACAGCTTTGGACGATGGTGCACCTCGGCCTTCCTTGTAACCGGGTCAAGGAGTGAGGGTCTGGCGCCCATGCGGGGCCTGCCTCAACTCCTGACTGAAGCCCTTCAGGCCTGAGACCCCCTCCCCACCCCGAGCTTTGGACGATGGTGCACCTCGGCCTTCCTTGTAACCGGGTCAAGGAGTGAGGGTCTGGCCCCCATGCGGGGCCTGCCTCAACTCCTGACTGAAGCCCTTCAGGCCTGAGACCCCCTCCCCACCCCACTCCGACTGAGGGAGCACAGGAGAAGCCCCGGGGACTCGGCCCATTCCTCCTCCCTGGGTGCTCAGGCAACTCACAGAAATCTCTGAGTCTCAGTTTGTGCATTTGTCAAATGGTGATGTGTGTCCCGCCCTTATCAGAGTGTGGTGTTCAGGACCAGAAGCTACACTTAAATCTCAGTTGCTGCTGCTGGTGTGCATTTGTTTACTCCTTCAACAAGTATTTTGGGGTATCTATTATGTTTATCACTGTGGTCCAGTGGCAAACGAAACAGATAAGGACCCTGCTGTCCTGGAGTCTACATCTGGTGAGGGAGAGAGGCGGTAGACTCAGAATTCATATGAATATCTTCAAATAGCTGGTAAGTGCTGTGAATGAAGTGAGACAGGGTAGTGGGATAGAGAGATAGGGGCTGGGATGAGGTGCTATCTTAAACAAAGTGGTCCAGCAGGGCTTCTCTGAGGAGGTGACATTTGTCCTGAGGGCTAGAGAATGAGAAGGCAGCTGCCACTTGAGAGCCGGAGGAACATTCCAGGGAGAAGGAGCAGCAAGGAACAAGGCCCCAACGCAAGGACAAGCTTGCTGCATTCCAGGAACAGTGAAAGGACATTCATTTACTCAAGGACTCAAAGCTGCTGTCCCAAAGGAAAAAGAATCGGCCCCCTGGATGGCTCCCTGATGCTCTGCTGACTGGCCACCAGAGGGCAGCAGTGCTCCTTCTCTTCCAGCCTGAGCAGAAAGTGGAGGCTTACGGACATCTGAAGCGCTGGCGTTTTTGTCCTGCGGATACGCAAAGCTTGGTCACAGGCTCTGGGTATGTTCGGCCCTTCCAGACTTGTGCAGCAGGAGAATCCCAATTTCTCAATCCTAGTGAGAATGGGTTTATAGCTGTACCACCTTGAGCGTGCCTGATCTCGTCCAATATCTGAAGCTAAGCAGGGTCGGGCCTGATTAGTACTTGGATGGGAGACCACCTGGGAATACCAGGTGCTATAGGGAAAGGCTGGCCAGTTAGCTCAGTTGGTTAGAGCACAGCCTTGTAACCGCAAGGTCAAGGGTTTGGATCCCCATATTGGCCAGCCACCAAAAAGAAAAAAGAAACAGGCAGAAGATGCACCATATGTGATTAAGGCAAGAAATCAACACTGGTGACAAATACCAGAATAAGGTTGCAGGAGAGCTCAGCACAGACAGGGTGGACAAGATCTCAGGGTCTCCTATGGCCAAGTCCGTGGCCACACAGGGGTCTCCTGTCTACAGAGATGAATCCTTTCCTGAGTTCCAGGCAGAGCTGGGGATGTTAGCCTATGACTGCCAGCTGTCATCTGATTCAAGATATGCTAGAGGTAGGGGAGTTGGGGGGAACAGCAAGGGGGCTTGGGGAGCCTCTTCTCCCTCCACCTCACTCTGGAGTATGAACTGGTTCATCCTGGGTGGCAGCTTGGAGCCAGCACAGGAGCAAGGTGGGCCCGGGCCACACCTCTATCTGTGACCTTCAGAGTTCCCAGCAACAAATGACATGCCCTCACAGGGATGGCCTTTTGCAGGTCACACAGGCTCTCCTGTGGGAGTCAGTCAGACCACGGAGTAGACATGTCATGTGTGGCTGTGTGTGAAGCCGCTTTGCCCTGCAATGGACATTGAACCATTTCTAAATGTGCACAACAAATAATAAATGTGGCCTTTGTTTTTATCCTTTGTGCTATTTAGTTTTTTAAATTTAAAAAAAAAACCACATCTACATAGTTCAAAATGCAAAAGATACTAAAGGACAGACAACGAAATGTAAACTAGGACTGGCTACGTAATTGGCCGGGCCCAGCGCAAAATGAAAACTCCAGGACCCCTGTTCAAAAATAAGTAAGCCTTTCAACACAGCAACAGAGCCTTAAATCAAGGGTGGGCCTTCCTGTGGGCAGGTCACTCATCCACTCAGTCAGTCCCAAACAAACAATGAGTTCTCAGTGCCCTCCAGAAAGAGCCCCAGCCAGACCTACCTGGGCCGTAGCACACCGCAGCTTGAGGGGAAAGATTCTGCACTTGCAGAGCCGGAGCCACGCTGAGATTCAATCCTAGGCCCAAGCCGCACATTGTGCACCTTTTTCAGAGTCAGGAGGCAGGACAGAATGTTCCAGAGAGGGCAGTGGAGGACTTGGTGGGGTGAGGACCCACAGCATCCATCCTATCACCACTGAGGGACACACCTACCAATCCCCAGGGCAGAGAGAGCTGAGCTGACACTCAGGACTACAAAGAGGCCCTCCCTGTGAACCCCCACCCTGCTACTGAGTCTGAGACTGGCTCTCAGTACCCACCCCTGTGGGCACAGGGATTGGCAGAGGGAGGCATCATCTGGGGGCTGTGACTTCAGGCCGGGCCAAGTGGCACCCACTGGAGCCTGGATGGGGCTTGTGGCAACACTTCTCAGGGGCCCCTTTGTCACATCCCTTCAGAGAAGAGGACCCAGATTAACAAGGCTGCTCTGGCCCGGGCTGCTCCTGTCCCTGCCATAGCCCTGTCTGAGGGGCAGCTCCAGGCCACTGCTGAATAACAGAGAGAATCCAGGTCACGGTTCTGGGTGGCACATGCCCTTGGAGCTTGGGAAAAAAACAAAACCAAATCTTATCACCAAATAAACCTGGGCTGGGTCGGATGGGTGCCAACTGCCCAAGGGATTTTGGGACATGGACTGTTTCTGCTGTTTGCTCCCAGTCAGCAGAGGTCTCTGACCCTCACTGCCCGTGTGGGGGTCTGCCCTGTCCACCAGCCACAGACAGCTCCTCCACCTGTTCCTGACAGTCAGGCATGTGGTGGGCCTTGTTCCCAGGAGCACATAGTCCAGTGGGGACCACTGAACACCATGCCGGCAGCAACACTGGAAACTGAGACATGAGTGACAGGCACAGCTGTGACAGTGGAGACTCCTCTAGGACGTGTGCTAGGGGCAGGGGGCCAGGCCAGGTGGGAAGTTTAGCTCATGTGGAGGGCAATGGCCTGTACCAGGATTGTATGTGTGTGTGTGTATGCGCGCGTGAGTGCAGTGTGGTATGTTCAGTGTAATATGTGGAGGTGTTGTGTGGGTGTTGGTGTGAATGTGGGGTGTGTGTGTGCATGTGTGGTGTGAGTGTGTTTGTGTGTGTGATAGGTGTGGGGGGTATGGGTGTGTGGTGTTGTGTGTGTGGTGTGTGTGTAGCATGTGTGTAAGTATGTGTGGTGTGTGTGTGGCATGTGTGTATGCATGTGTGGTGTGTATGTGGCATGTGTGTAAGTATGTGTGGTGTGTGTGTGGCATGTGTGTATTATGTGGGGTGTGTGTGTGTGTGGTGTGGTGTGTGTGTGTGTGTGGTGTGTGTGTAAGTATGTGTGGTGTGTGTGTGGCATGTGCATATTT